AACCACGACCGATGATCAATCAATAGTGAACGAACCAAGGAACGTTGACTCCTGCAACTAGGGCGTGGCACCATCCGTCATTTTATCCCCAGAATATCCTCTAACGAGCCCCAGCTGCATAATTAATCTTGCATCCTGAAAAGACTCACAGAAGACGTCTGCTGAGTCACAACACATTTCTATTCCTCAATTAACTGTCTCATGTTTGGCTCCATGTTAAAATGCCTAGCAGTCCTCATTTGAACCTCAATTCCATTTTGGTTGGCTCACATGGACTGACATTTGTTTTCACCGAGGTGTTTGGATAAATTATGTATTCTGGGCTTCAGTTTCATTTTGTTTCCTTAGCTGCATTTACCTTTCCTGAGACTATGAATCATACTTTATGTTCCAGTGCATGATGAAATTATAGCCTTAAAACCAATCAGGACAGCTCTGCAAGAATAGTAGTAAAAATCTTACTTCAGTATTTTTCTTTCTTTCTTTCTTTTCATTCATTCATTATATTTCTACTTTTATATTCCCATTCCATTCCCACATTAGAACAGAAGTTTGAGGAGAAACTGCATCTGAAGATCATTTTTGAAAGGCAGAAGAGGAAGAGGGCAGAACTAAGTTTCCCTTTTCCTTTCCCATCCTGTATTTTTAGAGTTCAAGGTGGTGTATGCAATGTCCCCTCTTTCTATTTTCCCACAATAGCAACTCCAGAAGGTGGACAGTTCTTTGGGCAAGATTTACGAAGAGGTTTGCTCTTGCTTTCTTCTTCCTAGGGCTGAGAGATAATGACTGGCCCAAGGTCACCCAGATGGCTTTGTGCCTCGGGGAAGACTAGAACTCCCTGTCTCCCAGTTTCTTTTGGAAACCACTTATTATTCTGAAACAGTTCATGCTAGCTAAAGAAAGCTATATTAAAGAAGAGGGTAAAACAAAGCTACATTAAAGAAGAGATTAAAACAATGTCCCAAATGTATTACTCTAAACCCTTACCCTGTTGTGAGAAGCATTGTGGGCAGGAGAGAATATTTGACAGCTTCAATTGAAAATGATATAAAGTGTTAGGGACATAGTTCTTAGCTCTTCAAGAAGCATAAAGCCAAATCTTGTACAGAAAACTACTCTTTCTAGTCCTTTTACACAACTACTATCAATTCTATATCAAACATAAAGATGGCTATTATCAGACACTACAATTGGTGGAAAGGCTATTGAACTATGCAGCTTTATCCCATAATGTGTTTATTAAGAACCCATTTACAGAATCCAAAGCAGCCAATTATCTGGACAGGATCATAGAATAGAATAGAATAGAATAGAATAGAATAGAATAGAATAGAATAGAATAGAATAGAATAGAATTCTTTATTGGACGAGTCCTTCAGGATTGGGCGGCCTATAAATTTATTAAATACAAATACAAGTATCTCCAAATATGTCTTTATTACTTCTTATTTATGAAATATAAGAAACAGATACAACAGTAAAACAAAATACATTAGTCATTATACAATACTGTTCATTATACTGTTTAAATTAATTTTCTTTTTAAAAAAATCTAATGTTAACAAAGAGAAACTTCTGTATATTATCAATCAGATAACATAGGATTAATTCAATTTTTAAATTCATACTTAAATCTAGGCCATAGAGAAACATATTGTCCAAAGATAGATAGGTATTATGATAATAGTTTAAGAAATACTTTTGCCTTTCTTGAGGATAAATTTACGGATGTTATGGAATAGATGCCAAGTAAGGTGTNTAGTTTAAGATTAGCATTTATACTGTATATCAACAGTCTTTTGATGGATTAAATCGTCTCCCTATGCCTGCCTTTAAAGGTCCTATTACTCAGAAGATGGATCTTTCTTTCTTTCTTTCTTTCTTTCTTTCTTTTTTTCTTTCTTTCTTTTTCTTTCTTTCTTTTCCTCCTATTTAATATGTTGTATATTGGTGTTAACCCCATGGGTCAAATAGCAGTTGGCTAGCAAATGGAACAAATTTACATAAAATATTGGTCTCTCACATACCCATTCATGTTATTCCCTTTTGGAAAAAAAGTGTGTAAAAGGCCAATCATCAACCCAGTTTAGCCTGAAAGTCTGAGAAATCCACGCTGAGCAATATTTAACATTACACCCTCAAATGTAACCTCAGTCCAAGAAAAAAGCATCATTTTTATTTCTCATTATGTTAAAAAATGAATATATTTCTAGAAGATTGCCTGAAGCTACAATTTCATTAAAAAGGGCAATATGTCACTGTCCTATCCTAAACTGTTTTCTTTGCTTTGTTTCATGCAGGGCTACAACAGACCAAAAGCTTATATAGCCGCCCAAGGGCCTTTAAAATCAACAGCAGAAGATTTCTGGAGAATGATATGGGAACATAATGTGGAAGTCATTGTAATGATAACGAACCTTGTTGAGAAAGGACGGGTATAAATCTCTTAGTTAATATTCTTTAGCTTTATATAAGAACTTCTCAATAAAACCTATTAATTGAATGCTTTCTAATGATAAACTCACGGAACAAAGCAGCTTCATTTTAAATAAGCAAACATAGGTTTGAAATACTCTTGAAAATGACTCATAACAGTGGAAGGCCTAATACTAGTATGGCGCAATCACTTGTTCAATTAATATTAGTCATTAGAAAACCTTAGCTGTTCAAATTCTGTTGAGAAGGGATTTTTTAAAAATCTGCTCTTAATAAAATCTCCTCTGTCTCTCTAGCTTTCAAAAATGATAGCTGCATTTCCAGGAATCTTGAAGGCAGAAATCTGGATTTGATCTTATTTGTATTGGTGAATTCCATAATTCCACAAAATTAATACAAACATTGAAGAAAGTTGGAAAGAAAGATTTAATCCTTGATTGAAAGTAATCTAGTTTAGTACTATTATTCGAACACGATTGGCCATTTTCATGCCTAGCATTCCATTCAAATCAGATAAAATATTTTAAAATTTCAAAGTCTCGGGGGAATTACAAACCATTTATATAATGTAGTTACTTAGCAATAGAGATATTTAAATACACATGCTCGGACTGTTTACTAGTTAAAATAATGCTTTATAGCTTCCTTTCCATATTAACATTGTATATTTCTTGGCTGCCAGAGAAAATGTGACCAGTACTGGCCTGCTGATGGCAGTGAAGAATATGGAAATTTTCTGGTGACCCAAAAGAGCATTCATGTTCTCGCCTATTACACCGTGAGGAATTTCACTATCAGGAACACCAAAGTGAAGAAGGTGGATACTCCCGTTAGTTGTGGCTTATGTTTTCGATTTTGTTTCAGATCTGCTGGTTTTGCTTTGTATTGTTTTGTCTTATATAATAATACCTGACTCATTTTGTACATTGCCAGTCACATCGTGAGGGATGTGCCTTTATAAAACTATACAATGAATATAAATTTTGTTGATTTAATTTTTATTCTATGTCACAGGGCTCCCAGAAAGGAAGGTCAAGTGGTCGTTTAGTTTCTCAGTATCATTATACTCAGTGGCCTGACATGGGTGTTCCTGAATACACGTTGCCAGTGCTGGCATTTGTTCGAAAGGCAGCCTATGCTAAAAGACATGCTGTAGGTCCTGTGGTGGTGCATTGCAGGTCTGTGGTTCTCATCTTTCACTTAGATCAGTGGTAGTCAACCTGGTCCCTACCGCCCACTAGTGGACGTTCCAGCTTTCATGGTGGGCGATAGGGGTTTGCTGTAACTCTGCTTTATAAATTTTATAAAGTAAAATTACTTCCCTACATTATAAAGCACCATTACTGTGAAACCGGTGGGCGGTTAGAAAATTTTACTACTAACAGAGATACAAAAGTGGGTGGTAGGTATAAAAAGGTTTACTACCCCTGACTTAGATCTTTATTCCCCTTTTCCCCTTTTAATTATTAGGAAAAACACAATGAACCTCTCCATAAGGAAGCTATATTTTCTTAATGTTTTCAATTCATGTGGACTTCAGTCTGCTTTACAACTTGGCTTTCTAGTTTAGGTTTCACTTTAACAAAGCAGATTTTGAATCATAAAGTGTAAAATGTTGTTTTCAACTATGCACAAGGAGGCATCAAGCCCTTTCTTCTGTGAGTGGCCTTTTATGAATGAATGGATCTGAATAGTCGCATTGATGCTTTTTCTCAGATTTATATATATCCTTCACTTTTAATTTTTAATAGTGCTGGTGTTGGAAGGACAGGCACATACATAGTATTAGACAGCATGCTCCAGCAAATTCAACATGAAGGGACTGTCAACATATTTGGGTTCCTGAAGCATATTCGAACACAAAGGAATTATTTGGTGCAGACAGAGGTAAGAAAAAGGTTTGCTTTGAATTAGGTTGTCCATGTTGTATCATGAAAACTCACAAAGGTAACTTTTTAAATGGATTTAAAAGAGGCAAATCAAAATATTCTATGGTTCCAATACCAGTTGCAGAGCCCTGTTATAAAATGTTTCCCCTGCCCCACCTATAAAACAGGTAACATACCACCTGAAAGCTCATTAGTTTTGAAAAAGAAATATATAGATAGTCATTAACTTATGGCCAGATACTTAGGGATCATTTGAGGTTACAGTGGCTGTCTTGCAGTCACATAATGGGCATTTTGAGCATTTGGCAATTTAAAGCCATTTGCAGCATCCCATGGTCACTTGGCCATGATTTTTTGCTGGAAACCAAGTTAAAAAGGCCCATTGGATACAATGGGTTCATTTAATGACTCAGCATTCACTTAATGTCTGTAATGTTCTCTTAATGACTGCCATAAAAGACCATAAAATCAGGCATGGTCATGTGTTATGAATTGTAATGAATGACTGCCAATATCTTCCGTCCACAATTCCGGGCATAATTATTGTTGTTAGTCAAGGACTACCTGTAACCTTTTCAGTGCATTAGAGAAATATATTAGATAAGTTAATTAAAATCTATCACAGAAAATTGCCATATGCATATTTCACTTGTAGCTTCATCCACATTTACATTGCAGTGGCATGTGGGCAAAAAAGGAGATGGCATCCACACTGGTACTATCAAAGTTCCACCTGATTTTTTTATGTGCTGATCACGTCACTGGGGCCATCCTTGAATTTTTATTTTAACCATACTCCATTGGCACCACTGCTGACTTGAAACAAGAAGCCAGTTGTATAGAAAAAAAATGTCTTGTAAATCTGTGTGTGTGTCATTAGGGCACTCCAAAATGAAAGAATGCACTGGAACCATATTTTGAAAGGTATTATAAGGAACGTGTAGAAAATGCCTACATTATTTTACAAGATAAACTCAATATCAGCTCCCTGATTTTTACTCTGCAACTAATTCAAAGAAATCCGAAATGTGCTTACATGAACAATGGAGACAGAATCAGGAGCATTAAACTGTTCTTTCTTGGAACCTAATATTACTATTACAGTTTATGAGACCTTTTTATGACCTTTTCTGCTCTAGATATCAAGTGAAAAACTACAAATTTGTCATGCAGTTCTAAGATGGATTTAAAATATAGCACTGTTCAAAATATTCTTATATACCTGCAAATATATATGTGTGAAAAAAAGGGAACTCAGCAATTGAGCATATAGTCCAAACACAGGAGACTACATATGACTGACAATTTCTAACAAAAATGAAACATTACACACCTTATAGTTTGTTGATGCCTCCTGTGATCAGTAATGAATATAAGCATGGTAATGTAGCAATTTCTATAATTGTTGTAACTGTAGAAAACATGTTTCTGACTTTGGAATAAAATGTGTATAATTCAGTGGTGGGTTCCTCTCCCTGTCGCTACTGGTACGCTGCTCACGGGACTGCACGTCCTGTTTGTGCACATGTGCTGCGCACCCCTGTGCACTCCACCACCCCTGTGACACCCAGCTGCTTCTCGGAGCTCACACAGGCGCCGCACACTGTACACATGTGTGCAATTGGCTGGTTGCTTAAAAAGCAGATATAGAAAGTGGGCGGACAAGTGGGCGGACAAATGAGGCCAAATGAGCCACCATACCAGTATGCTGTCAGCTGCTCCCGGCTACTACCGGTACGGCAGTATCAGGCCATACCAGCTGGACCCCACCACTGGTATAATTGTTAGTCTGTTCCGCTGAATAGTTTATAGTAGGACATAGTCTAAATTGGACATTAGATCACAATAAATATTAATGCTATGACCAAGACTATTTCTTCATGTTGTAAATCAGGAACAGTACATCTTCATTCATGATGCACTTGTGGAAGCCATACTAAGCAAAGAAACAGAAGTACCGGAAAATCACATTCATGCCTATGTGAATTCACTCTTAATACCAGGACCAATGGGAAAGACAAGATTAGAGAAACAGTTCAAGGTGAGGCTGTTTGGATTTAGCCCAAGGCCTGGGGCTAATGAGCTTTTGTCCCCCCTCGAATGGTATGGTTGTTGTGTGCTTTTTAATTGTGGTATTTTATTGTTCCTCTTTTTAATTCCTTATATGTACCCCCCCCCCCTTGACATGGGTTGTGAGACGCCCTGA